ATCCGTACAAGCAAGGGCCAAACGATAGCAAACACAATGAGTTGCTTATATGTTTTTGTTTTCTCTTTTAAGTATAGCTTACACGTTTGCCTACATTAACGCTAGCTCCATCAGTGCATAATCCAGATACTTTATTCACATTTGATTTCATAGACTCTAAATTTTCCATCAACACAGTATACAAAGTTTTTGAATTTGCGGAGTCAGAATTCTCAGGTAAATTAGCAGTAAAGAGAAAAATCAACCTTCGCAGATTTGGAAACTGGATTCACATACCCTGAATGTATGTTTTCATTTGTTCTAAAGAAGATAAAAAATCAATCATCAATCCATAACTTTCTGTAGCTTTTCAATCAATACACTTTTTAAAGTATCAGAAATAGTTCAGGTAGATTCACTGTAGACCACCATCTTGGATTGTACAATAGCAGTACACAATCGGTCTAGTTCTTTGCCTAAATCTGCAAATTTTGAAACAGATTTGCAATTTATGTGTAAGAATGTTTATTTTTATAAAGAAAAATAAATGATTTATTGCATAATCCAAAATGTTTAAACAAATACCAAATATTTGTTTTTTTTTAGAATAATTTTTTTAACTTAGCTATTTAAGGGGAGATAACTCTTACAGTAAACATTTAATACTGGAATAATAGTGAAATTTTTATTTTTTACTTGTAGCAAGAAAATAAGTTCGGTGACACCCTTTTTTCTTTTTCTTTTCTTAAAGCATATTATAAACCTATCTCTTCATTTTTTATTTTAAAATTCTATCTCATAGATTTCTTTTTATTCACAAAAAAGTGTTTTTAATGGACAATCTATGTAAATTGAGCGATTTTGCACGACTTGTAGCTTAAAAAATAGCAAGGTGATCCATACTTTTTATTATATTTTTGATAAAAAGCATGGTAATTTTGGCATAGTATGAGAAAATTCTATCTGAGGAAATATATACAGATGATCTACCTTGAAATAATTTCTTTTTGTGATCCGTCTGACCTATGATTGAAGTACTTCAAATCGTGTACCTCAATTTGTTCTACAAATTGTAGAAATTTGTTAATTTTAATTTAGCAACCATCTGATCCATGACGAATAAAAGTGAATAAAAAGCTTGGAATAAAATATTATTCTGATTTTCTTTTTTATGATTTTTTTCTTTCTGGAATACTGACACTCCAAAATCTTGTACTTGGTGTTTCTACAAATACACTTGATTTGTTTCTCATGTTTTTCATATTGTGCTTTTTACATAGTAAACTGTAAATACCCTGGTCTGCAACAAATATGAAGTTCCATAACCTTGTCACATGGCAATATGACAAATCTTTTGATGGTAGCCATGAATGCTCAAATTTTTCCAGTGATTGAAAGAGAAAAGCTTAACAACAATTGTTTTGGTGAATTTTATTCAAGTCCTCATTTGGAAAAAGCTTTTCTATGATTTCACGTTGCTCTTCAAAAATTAAAAACTCCAAATATTTTTCACGAATTTTAAATAAATCTATGAGTCAAGCTGAAGAAAAATTTAAATACATGCGTGTTTCATGTTTCCCTATCGTCCATATTTTTTTTTCTCAAAAACGCCTACCCTATGGGAGATCTTCAGATGTCATACCCATTCAATGTAAAAATTAAAACCCATAACTACCTACCCCTTTTTTTCTGACATGAAACAAGGATATCCACATATTCTTTTGTTTGGCCTCACATATATGTTATCAGCCCTTTATTCTATGTATAGAGTACGATGCAGTCCCTCACACATTTTGTAGCACTTAACGAAAAGAAGGAATTCCGTTCAGAAGAAGAAGTAATTGATGTTCTGTACAGTATCAAAATTATTTCTCATTCATGACACATGTGATTTGTAGTGTTTTAATTGTAATATATTTTTTTGTGTATTGACTTCCATAAAAGGACACACTTAAATTACTGTAATTGTAATAAATAATTCTCATCAAAATTTACAAGACTAAACATAAAATTTCTTTTTATTCGCCAGTTTCTGTAACTTATATATGAAAAGTATTGTTAAAACTCAGAAGTGACGAAATTATGTTCTTGTACAGTTGCATTTAGTGCTTCCGTCTGCTATATCTAAAAGGGATTTGCCTTGTCTCAATGCCATTTACAACTTGTCTTTTACTTAATTTTACAACTATATTCTCTATAATCTGACCTTTACTCTGCTTTCGAGCCGCCGGCGCCGACCGGTTAAAGTAATCAGTTATTGATCTTTTGGACATACTTTGTCCAAAAACATTTTTTGTAACTTTCACTACAAACTGCTTGAGTCTGAAAAGAACATATTTGTGCTCGAGCACAAATTTTACTTGACAAAACTCGACATAATCTTTACAGTACTTAACTGTACTCGACTTTGGTCTCGACTTTACTTAATTAGTCTGATTGATTACTTGATAATCTTGGTACAGTCTGAGTACAGTTAAGTGCTGTCGAGATTATGTCGAGTTTCAAGTTAACTCTGTACTCGTCGAGCACAAAATATGGTCTTTTCAGACTCTGAGCAGTTTGTAGTGTTTGTAAAGTTTAGGTTCTTTCAAGCGCATGGATGACGAAAAAACTGGTTCTGCGGGCTGCTCTCACTACCGTTGATTATACTGAAGACTCGGGAACAAGGCGTTAAACAAAAGATGACTACCTATCCCGACCTCGTCGCCGATATTTGCAAAAATCGTTTTATAGATCAGAAATTTTATAGCCGGCAATAAAAAGTTAAAAGACAGCTGCCGGCTTTTATTGAAAACACTGAATCATAAGTTTCGGTTTTTTTATTGTCTCTTTTGAATCTTAATCTTTCTAGCTTATGATGTTGAATGTATTTGTCAAGAACACTAACATATTTTTTTCTATTTTTCTTTCTTCAAACCCCCCAAGGGTGACTGGGGAATAGAAGTATGGTCGCCATTGGTCTTCCTCCGACCGGCAGTAAAACCCTTGCTAAAGTGGGGCGTCCGTTTGGCTGTGCGGGATGTACAAATTTGCAGCCACGTCCGGTCAGAATGGGGACGTTAAATCCGATGCCTCGTGTAAAGAGAGTGCTACGCTCTTTGCACGTTAAGAACCCTTGCAACAACTCTTTGAGGGGTCCGTAGGTGACCTGTTGCAAGGCTAAATTTCTGTCCCTATCCAATATACCCTCATTTCCCGTGGCAGTCTAAATTTCTCCGACCTTAATCCCGGACGCCCCTATTACAGAACCTACATATTGTATTTATTGTTAATTTGTTCTCGTCCTGAATATGCATGAAATATTTGCCACTGGACGTTAAGCAACCAACAATCAATCAATCAATCTTTCTTCAAAGAGTTGCTTCCAGTTGCATTGTTCATAAGGAATGCCAATATCATCATTTTCTTTTTTGACTTACCACTTGTCTATTTTCTTTGTCATTTCGCGAATTCTAAGTGTCTCTTAATGTCTTAGATATTGTCTAACCAATGTGATGTCCACTATATTTTCAGAAAAAAAGGAATTTCCTCCTCCATATTTGATGAAATCTTGCCTTCTGTAAATTTCGTTTTAAATTTACTTTTGGTTGAAAACCGTCAACATCCCTGAGCAAAGTATCTATGAATAATGGTGTTTTACTCTGTGGCAAGTACGTGTAATGAAATTGTGGCAGTTTGTCATAGTCAAGATATGGTCGTGGAGATGGTGCACATAAAATTTCTGTTCGTGGCGGGTTATTTAGACAATAACTACATATTTCATTTACTTTTTGAATTTATATGTTTTGGAGTTTAGTATGACGTCCATTTTCACTGAACTAGTACACATTTTTATTTAGGGGCCAGCTGAAGCCCGCCTCCTCCCATTGGTGGCCTTCGGCTGTTTTCGGCTCTTTGGTCGGGTTGTTGTCTTTTTGACATATTCCCCATTTCCATTCTCAATTTTATTCTCCTTTTTTTATATTCAAAACATAAATCTGCCTGATAACAATGATAATTGATAGATGTTTCGATCTTTTGGAAATAGTGGTGACCAGGAATCTTTTTTTTTTTGTTGATCTTGGAGGCCTCAAAAGATTTTATAATAAATCCTTTGTCTTGGAGAAACTGGCATTCTGCAATAAAGATAGAAAAGTTTTAGTCTGTTAATAAATACAGGCTAGATGATACATTTTAACCTTTTAGTCATAGAATAATACCTTAAAATATCAGAATAATGATATGGAACGGTGAATACACCAACAAAGATATAACGAATAGTCATTGTGTCGTGACCATAGATTTATTACATTTTTTTGTCAGTGTCATTCAGATTTCCATTTTGAATTCTACATGTTGAAGACTTTGTGGTGACATTTTAATGCATATTTCTGTAGTTTTTTATGGTAGTATACTGGAACATTTGTATCATTCCCAATATCCTTACTTGTTTTATCTATGTGCCTATGTATAATTGTGTTTGAAAAAATCATTTATTGTGATGCTATTGTCTTTTCCCTTCTTTCGGTTCTGTCTTCGTGATTTAACAGGAATGATAGACGTTAGTTTTATAATACAATCCAGGCTTATTGGTTACATGTGGAATCATAAAACCTCCCGTAGGACCTTTCTGATCATCTGTCCTCAGTTTCACTTCATTTTCAACAGTCCAGGCATTCTTTTCCATGATACCTTCTTTGTAAAGCTATCTTTGAAATAGAAAGCAGAATCCCGAACTTTCGATGCAACAGACTGGACACCATTTGAACACATGCCTCTATCCTTTTCATCCTGAATTGTAAAAAGGTATGAATGTTCATGAACTATTCTCATATAGTCAGCTGCCCACAAACTGTCATTACTTGGAATGTAATATTTCGGCAGTAAAATTACAATGCTTTGATCATCTGCCTTTATCAACTATTCTTCACCTGAAAAAGTTATAAGTAAATGAAATTGATATCCATCTCATGTGTGTATCAAAATAGTTTTTGAGACAATATGAAAAAAATGATAAACTTTTGCTATGTGTATCATTATAGGTAGTCTACTGGGAGACTGAACCCATCACCTGGAACACATGATTTAATATACAACATCGATCATGCAGTTTTCAAGATAAACAAAATAGAACAAAACATACCCTTCATGTCATAGTGACAATCTACGTGTATTTATCACCATTATAAGGTTTATGCAATAAACGTTATACTCTTTAACATGTTTAACAAAGTTGTAAATTTTTTCATGAAAAACATGGCAGGTAGCTTATTGCACAACACTGCGGTATAACCATTGATTTCTTCAGTATTCCGTGTCATTATTCTGTAAGAACTTGGTGTCCAGAAAACATCAGGCTGTGCAAAGTCATGCCGTGGAAGCTTTCTACAATGTTTTTCATCTGTTACATCTATCATTGCAATTTGCTATTTATAAATTATATCAGGCTTAGCCCATGTTTTGGTTTACGCATGTTAAGTTTTTGTTTCGAGAAAACAAAGCCGTTTTTCAAAGCAAATTGCAAAAAATTAAAATTAATATATAAATACTTAATATATATCAAAGGTACCAGGCTTATAAACAAAATTAGGCCTTAAAAATATATCTGTGTTTTGGGAAACCTCACTATGCCTAGTGTAAAAAACAAATTGGCTCATTTTGGACAAGCACTGTTAAAGTCAGAATTTTCTCCTTACTATAAACCAGTCAAAAAAATTGAGAGAATGAAAAATTGTTTAACTACCAACCCTATCTTTTTAAATGCAAGTTATCAGAAACACCAATATTTTTTCCTTAGCCTAAATAACAATCAGCAAGACAAGATCTGCATTGGTACAGAAGCACAACTTTAATAAAAACTTAACCACCAGTTCAAGAGTTATTGCACTGAAATATCATACGTCTTTCTTTCTCTCTGTTTTGCATTTATCCTTTAAACTATATGTGATGCTCAAGATGGTTTTCATTATTGATTGATTGGTGTTTAACGCCACTGTCAGCACTATTGTGCTATTTCAAGGCGGTCAGTTTTTATTGGTGGAGGAAGCCGGAGACACGGAGAAAACCACCGACTTTTGGTAGGAGAACTGACAATTCTCGTCAATTAAGATTAGAGTCGAGTGCACCTGCACGAGCCGGGCTCGAACTCACAACCTTAGTGTTGACTTACTAGTGATTACAGTAGTTGAACTACTTAGACCACTCTGCCATCGAGGTCACGTTTTCATTATTAAAGGATGGTTATCTTGAAGCATAGGATAAGGGCATCTACAAATGTATACAAATGTATAAATATAGTGATACAGCCAAGACATTTCACTTGCCACTTACCATCTGTCCCAGGACGCAAGTATGCTTTGTCATCCATGGAAATCTCAAGGGAAATATTCCTTATATCTTCTGTATCAAACATGCTTTGGCGGTCAACTTTGACATTGGCCCTCTGATGGTGTGTTGTTTCATTCACGTAAGACTGTTTTGGATGGGTTTTTGAACAGATCAACCATTTTCCTGTAATGAAAAAAATATGTATATAAAAAAGAAAGGAAGCAGTTACAAACAAAAGCTTGTCCCCTCGTCCATTCTTATAGAACTTTTGTTGAGATATATATTAAATATGTAGAGAATAAAGATCAAGGTGACCGTTATCGTGTATATATTTTAGCACACAGATCTTTGTTATCCTTATATGACTGGTAATACTGAGATATTGAACTTAACCTTAAACTTTATCAAGGTCATTCATGTGGAAAATATAGGTCGAGGTGACCAATTTATTAGCATTTTTCAGAGCATTTAGAGGTGTAGACCACATAGCAACCATTGCATGTATATATATATTTGTTGTTGCTTTCGATGGAATGCTGATGCTTCGATGGTATTTTTCCATATGCAAATCTTTTGATTTTTACATGACATATTGCCTGAAAATATATGTATCAGACAATATGAGTATTTAGACTGTATGCGTATGGTCTGGATCAAATGCATATTATACCTAAATGTATATGGTCAGGAGTTAACAAGCTGGACCTTACAAGAATCCAGACCGCGTATATTTTGACAAATTCTGTAATTTGACTCAAAATTGTATACACTAGATCAGTAGATCAGTACACATTTGAAATAATGAAAAATTAAGTTGCACAAAAAGCAAGTTTGTGATTGATATTGATAACATTGATTTTTAAAAGGCTTGGAGACGATAACGCCATAAAGGATACCCACACAAAAAATTCATGTCTTGTACGTAAATTGTATATAGATATAAGAAGATGTGGTATGAGTGCCTATGAGACAACTCTCCATCCAAGTCAAAATTTATAAAAGTAAACCATTATAGGTCAAAGTACGGTCTTCAACACGGAGCATTGGCTCACACCGAACAGCAAGCTATAAAGGGCCACAAAAATTAATATTGTAAAACCATTCAAACGGGAAAACCAACGGTCTAATCTATATTAAAAACGAGAAACGAGAAACACTTATTAACCACATCAACAAACGACAACTACTGAACATCAGATTACTCATTTTCATTAAACTAGGAAAACATGAGATCAGCTCATTTTTATTAAACTAGGAAACATGAGATCAGCTCATTTTTATTAAACTAGGAAAACATGAGATCAGCTCATTATCAGAAAGGCTTTCATATTACCTGGAATGCTACAGCCGTAATCTTTCTGCCTAGCTTCCACAAGAGATTTAATAACCAAAAAATATAAGGACACATCAGGAACATCACAGGGAGGGGCAGAGTTTGATTGACCCGCAGGCGAAAAGTTTTTAATCATACACTCTGGGATTGAGACACGATCTGCATCATTCTTTATTGAATGAACAATGCAGATGCCTGACGCTAAAAGTACATAGCTCTGGTTCTGCAAAGCAATGAAGGTAAGGCTGTGAAAAGGAATGGAACTTAATGCTTCTCTGTAGCAGAAACATAGTTGGCCAATGCAAAAAACATATATCAGCTCTGATTAGGTTAGGAGAATACTGGTCTTAACCTTGGGAGGAGGAAAACAATACACTGGACGGAAACACAAGTAAGTTTGGCAATCATATATTGATAGAGTAGCACTGGCTTTCAACCTACTGGGAATTCCTGAGAAGTATATACTACAAATTAACCGCTTAGAGAATGATTTCAAAAATGTTTTCCATTGAACAAGCCTAAATTCCGATACTACCATTAACAACTCTTCACAAGACATCCAGAAAAAAAAACCAGTCTTAAGCTTCAACGTCCGAAAAAGAAAAAAATAACATTTCTATGACAACTGTAAAAACCAAAATATAAAGCTTGTACGCAAGTAACAACAACAACGCCGTCCGTAACAGACTGACAGGAAATGCAGGAAAAAGACTACGAGTCTTTCACAACAACAGGGTCGATGTCACTGACGGCGGAGGTTTCCTCCCCGAAGGTATCACCCGTTCAGTAGTGATAGCAATGAATTGTTTTAACAGTCGGATTCCCCTGATCCGTACCAGTTCTATGTTGGCTGTTAATCGTCAATAATTATAAATCAACTGGTTACAAAACTTCGATTTTCCTTTCCAGGAATAGATTACCTTAGCTGTATTTGGCAAAACCTTTCGAAAATTTGGGTCTTCAATTCTTCAATGCGCTTCACCTTTTTTGTCCTTTTTTGTTCGTGCGTCCCTTTTTTAGACGAAAAATTTTAATCTTCGTATCTTAACATGAGTTTTTAGAAGTATAATTTGGTGCAATGGAAAAATAAGCTGAAGCACATTTTTCTGACCAGGAAACTTATGATTTGCAAGATGGCCAAAGGGAAAAGCTTTAGTACCAATCCTTTCTGTTTCTCACAAAAGATACATCATGTTCATTTGTATTTGCACCTTTGAATAAACTTTTAAAAAGAACAGCTTTCAAACTTGAAATAACGATACCAGTGACCTACATCTTCATTTATCATTTAGATAATTGCCTAGTGATTTTGGTAAATCAAAAAATTATAAAGGGGGTGCACTTACTCAGCTGTAAAATAAGGAACATCAAATTCATTTTTATTTTAAGATCAAAATATTAAACAGCCCTCATCCGGCTACAGGCTTTTCAAAAAACTGCATGATGTTAGGAAGAGAGGTCAATTTGCTTCTTAACTTAATATGTAGAAGTCGAGACAAAAGAATCCACAAAAATGAAGCAGACTTCATTTCGACACTTAAGTCTCATTTCCAGTAAGTGTATCAGATAGCAAGAGAAAATCTCAAGACCAATGCAGAAAGACAAGAAACTTAACCATGACACACGACTAACTGACAACAAATATGAGATAGGGTCCGTGGTTTACAAGTTTGACAAGACCGTCAATAAGAATAATCGATCTCCATGGCTTGGTTCTTATATAATTACTAAGATCCTCAGTTCTGTTTGTATGAGATCAGCGACAAATCATGTAACGAGGTAATCCATCATGACCGTCTTAAACCGTGTAATGGAGACATGCCAGTTTGGGCAGAAGCAAGGTTGCACTAGGTTTTATATGATGCAACTCAACAGAACATTATATTATATTTTCTTAATCAATTTATTTTTCCAGAATGGCAAAAATGTTTCAATGCAGCAAATGTGATTTGGTTTTCAATAAAAGAGGGATATTGTTTCAATGCAGCAAAATTTTAATGTAATTTGGTTTTCCATAAAAGAGGAAAATTGTATCAACATCTAAGAGCAATGGCAGGAAAACCTCACAGAGAGGATTACTCTAAACACAGATGTATTATACGTAAAAGCCCATACCAAGTTGTAGTTGGAGAAGATGGTTTAAAGGTCACAGGTACCAAGGTAACTCAACAGAATTAAACAACAACAGAAAGTTAAGACATAATTGTGCCAATGTCAACCAATAAAAACAAACATACAACTTACTACACTGAGGAGGAGGAATTTGTGTCAAAGTACGATGAAGAAATTGTAGTGGTAAAACTGGTGGAGGTCATCCTCAATGAGAAGCAAGATCCAAATAAAGAGTTAGTCCATTAAACATCCACTGCACATACAACACCAGGAAAAGACAAAGCAGGAAC